GCGATTTATTTCCCAGCTGTTTACCTTCACAGACATAACCGACTGTTTTTGTAACTCGTGTGTTTTTAAAGTAAACTTGTGTGTGAATGAGAATTTAGTTTAGTACTCACATCCTGTGACAGCCGCTTTCTGTCAGTGTGCACTCAGAAAACCTTATATCAGAAGTTTAAACTCATATGGTTTAAAACGCATGATTTCAGCACGATAAACATGATAATCAGAACCAAAACAGATGTTTTTTTAGCAGGTACGAGCTGTAATGGCCCAGCTCTATTCTGGAAAAGGGGGCGGGGAGCAGCAGCTCATTTGCATTTAAAGAGACAGGCACGAAAAAACAGCTCATTTCTGCTTCCACTCAAAATAGGCATTTTCAAAATGATATAATAAATTATCTGTGGGGTATTTTGAGCTGAAACTTCACAGACACATTCTGGGGACACCAGAGACTTATATCACATATTGTAAAAAGGGGCATAATATGTCTCCTACAAGTTAAACTAATGTTCTGACGAAATTAATATGAATTATCCATAATATTAGGCTTTAATGATATAGTATTCAACAGTTAACAGGAATTAAACAAAATGCCATTCCATTAACTGACTTTGTGGTTAAAAAAAGAGTGTCAAAATAAAACAGTATTAGTGTATAGATTCAGGCAAATTTATGTCTTTACAAAAGTTGTCATATAATGAAAAGTCAATTTTCACTTAAACAAATAAGCATAAAGGGGGATATAAAATGTTATATTAACAAAAATAATATTGAAATGATAAAACAGTTTGATAAAAGTATGCAGTGTACCATAGAGCTAACGTTTCGTTGCTTGAAACCAAAATAACTATCAGTACGTGCCAAAATAACCATCTATAACGGAGTTAAAAATTCTGGAACGAGATCAAAGCGAAATGTTAATTGTTAATGTAATTCATTCAGTACCAGAATCCATTGATGGAAACAAATTTAAATAATAATAAAATCAAAACATGTTTTACTCAATTGATGTGTGTGCCATGCATTTTTATGAGTATTAGAATAAATGTGCATGTTTTTAGCTTAGCAACATGCTAACTCTGTTGAAATCACTTTGTGTTGTGTATAGTTGCTGCTTATATAGAGTGTTCAATCTGTCAGTTATAAGATTCCATATTTTAGGATATTACTATCTTAGAAGGCAGTTGCCAATTTAGTCAGTTGGGTAGCTCATTGATTTTTGAACAGACTCTGTGTGTGCATATTTTACTACAGATTGTTTTGTGAAACTTTTACAATGTAAAGCAAGATTTGCAGGTTGTTATTGAAAGATGAGGCAACATCAACGACTGTACACCGAACCTTGTTTCTCATGTCACAAGCGAGGACATTTATGTAGGCTACATAGATATATTAAAGGTAAAGCAACAAAAAAGAGAATATTTATTGAGTGCTGCAGAAATGAGTCCTAAAACCCAGAAATGATTTAGCATCCCAAAGTCAATAGGATTTTTTTTTGTTAAATGTCTGATAAGGTCTGAGAAGGAGATAACGTAAGAGTTTGTGTGTGTGGACCCAGAGTATAGTACTTTGTACAACCTTGTAATTATATTTCTCATGTACTGCTATTTTGGGTTGAATAGACTGAGAATATCCAGGTGAGGATACATAAGGATGCAGTAGGCGATCATCCAGAGGAACAGAAGCACATGCACCTCATAACTAGTTAGGTCAAGACCCCCCTTCCTAAAACACACAAGAAGAAGGCAGAATGAGACATACTGGTTATTTTTTTTCGAAACAACCTAGGTTAATTAAAAATAAATAAATAAAATAAAACATGCCTGTGGGGTGACATTTTTGGGGTGAGATAAAAATATATTTGCTAAATCAGCAATGCCATTTTAGCTTGTATGCTCAAGTCTTTGAACTCTTTCTTAGTGACTTGCATTTTACGGGACTCACACCAGAGCGCTTTGCATCACAAATGCATTGTTGAACCGGGTGAGCTGAAGAGCAAGTTTACTATATCACAAAAGCCATAAATATGGAATTGGTAATGTGATGCAAATGTTAAAAGGTATTGCTTTACAAATAATGCACTATAATATTTTTTTTGAGTTCATAACATAGTACTGTGTTAGGAACAGCACAAAAATAAGTCTTTATTCAATTGAAAATCTGCCCTTGTGATCTTAATTAGCATAAAAAGGGTTAAGTTCCTTAATCATTAATGTTGTTGCTGTTTTACGGCCCCTAGTGTTCATTTCAGCTGAAAACTGCAGTGAAATGTATCTATAATGTGTAATGTATGTGCATTTTTGGGGCTTTGCAAAAATGTAATAGAGGCATGTATTTCCAATGAGCATACACTCTAAAAAATCCTGGGTTAAATACAACCCAGTGCTGGGTAAAATATGGACAAACCCAGCGATTGGGTTGTTTTGACCCAGCGGTTGGGTTACTGCCCAGAAGGTTGGGTTAAACATTTAACCCAACTGTTGGTTGAAAACAACCCAATAGCTGGGTTTGCCCATATTTAACCCAGCATTTTTTTTTGAGAGTGTAGCTTGTTTCAAAACTACTTTCAATTGAACAATGCAACAAAATGTATGTAGAATATAATCCAAACCTCTGTGAAACTGCAGGTTCTCCTGTTATTCTATCCAAAACTCTTTGATCCAAAACATTGTTTTGCTCATATTGGTCATTATCTGATAGACCATCCTTCACTGCACCGGGGAAAATGTCCTCTCTGATTTTTTCCTTATCTAGACCATTTTTCACTGGTGACACAAATGCATCATCAACACCATCACCGTGAGTCAGATTAAATGCATCTGAGTAAATACTCTCCTTCATTTTTAATGAACAGCCCAAGTCCAAATGTTCATTGGTAGATGATATTGGTATATTTTTACCAAATTGCTTCATCAGCAAAGAGTCAGAAGCAGGTGAAAATGTTTCTAAGGCACTTTTGTCGTCACCTGACCCAGTCAACACATCTGTGGGCTTTAACTGCCTCTGTGTCTCACAAAAATGACACAATGAGTTTATTTCACTTCCTTGAGATTCAAATGTACTGGCAAACTCTGTTCCCTGTGCATCCATAATTGTATTTAATTCAAGGTCAACATCTGTCTCTAGTTCAGCGTCTTTATGGTCCAGCTCTAATATATAGCTATATGCATCCTCTTCATCTGAATCCAGCATTGGCATAGCATAAACAGCCTCTTTTGAAACCTCTGAAGAGTTCCCATCATTATCCAGGCTTCCCAAATAGCCTTTCTTCCATGCTAAAGAGTCACAACACTGCCCCCCAGTGGAGTCTGGCAGGGATTGCCCATTTGACCAGCTGGAGCTCTTCATGGTGAGGAAATGTTCAGACAGAGCAGCTAAACCCACAGGGTTGTCTGAAGGACAGGCAGGCAGTGACTCTGAGCTGAGCTCTTGATCTCCAGTATGGTAGGTTTGTTCCTCTTGGCTGGTCTCAGAAGAGTTATGAAGCCCTCTCAAAGCTTCAGCAGAGATATTAGATGGTAACATGCAGCTAACTGAATCAGTCCAATGTCTGTCGAATCTTTCAATGAAATGTGGTGTGCCTCGAGAGGAATCTGTCGATGCACTGTCCTGTGAATGAGTCAGTGTTATGGGATTAACAATATTTTACTCAGACAGACCATTCATTCATTCATTCATTCATTAGACATAACAATTTTAAAATGTCTTTGTTCTATTGTAGTACATTACGCTATTTTAGTATGGAAGTCTGTTTCCACCCAAAAATGAATAAATATATAAATAAATAAAAAAGGCAATTTCAACTTTGTCATAATTGCTTGACTTGATTCACTTATATCTCACAACTGTGGTTTTAGATGTTGCTAATGTGAATATATCTCTTAAATGTGACATTTATAAGAGTCCCGTTTGTAACTTCATATCTTACAAAGTGGCTTCATATGGTGCAACTGCACTTTCATTTTTCATAAATGTGACATAATATCCACTACATGGTCTTATCTCTCATAATGCAATTTTATTTTAAACTTTACCTCATAATTAACTTATTTTTTTGCAAAAAAAAGTTGAAAGTAAAGTAACATTATGAGAGATAAAGCCACGTTGTGGATATGATTTTACTTTTATGGAGAAAAAAAAGTGTTTTTAAGCATATTCATGTGTTGAAAACGCTTACTTTTATGTTCGTAGATACAATGAATTCAGGAGGCCAACTCGAAACTGGAGTCAAATCTGTGTGGGCAAATCTGTCGCCCTCTCACAAAATTAATTTGCATGGATTCCTATTGAAATCACTTTTTTTATTAAGTATGCCAAACTATAGATAACATGACCACACCTTTGAATTTCCACGGGCGAAATCCAGTCATTTCAATACAAATCCACACATGATTACATATCTGCCCACACAGATTTCACAACAGGTCACACTGGTCACACAATTTTGCTGCATTGCCCAGCTAAAAGTTGCTTGGTTTAAAGTGACTTCTGTGTGAGCGGTGCTTTATACATCGGTACACTATTTACAATAGACCTTTTTTGTCCTGTGAAATTTTGTTGAAATTTCACTAATGTGAACACACCTTCAGTCTTATTGACATATGTAGTCACAATAATGCTATCATTATAGATAAGAAAGCCTTAGTGTGCTTTAATCTTCTTCTCAATCATTCAAATAAAAGATAAACATATCCTCACCTCATCATGGCCTGGACAATATTCAAGAAACTGGGCTACATATGTGATGACAGACTGCTCATCTGGTGAATGCACTGCAAGATCTAGTGGGAAAGAAAAAAACAAATCAAGTCAAATAACCAAACACACCTGCTTAATGTTACAGCAGGGTTCCAGTCTGCTTTGAAGATGAATCCCACAAAAAAAAAAAAAAAACATTCTGCTTATATTTGCTATCACTAACAGTTACAAAGCTAAAAGGCAACTCAACACTTTGCTATACAATTCTCAGGCAACATGACTGGTAGTACAATAGTTCTGCAGTAAAATTCCTGCTTATGCATTTTCATTACGTGCTTATTTCTGAAGTGTGAAAGCAGGTCATACAGCAATTTAGTACGTTCCCCTAGAAGGCGCAAACAATACTCAGCTATTCTTCAAAGAAAAGCTAATGGTTTGTTTGTGTGTTACCATCTGGATCCAGCAGTGGAGGAATCCCCAGCCACTCATTCGCTGCTGTGAAGGCTGTCTCCATATTTAGTCGGGGCTCAGAAGACAAAGCTTTCCTCATGTCCACAAACTGAGGACAGAAGAATTTAACCAGAGCCAGAAATGCCAATCCACTCCTCCAGCTTTTACCAAAATCGCAAATTTCTACCCCATATCTGAAGGAAAAGATTGAAATGGCGAGGCTGAATGAATTATGGAAGTTCATCCAATTCATAGATTACCCTAAAAATAAAAGTTCTATAATAATTTTATATTGCATGTTGTTCCAAACTTATATTACTGTCATTCTTCTGTGGAAGTTATTTTTTTCCCATTAAATTAAATCTAATAGGGACAAAAAATAATTTAAAAAACACCATAAAAGTATCATAAAAGTGGTCCATGCAAGGTCTTCTGATAGCTTTGTGTAGCTACAGACCAAAATATATATTTACTGAATATCTCAACATCCAGCTAAGACAAAAAAAATCGTTTGAACTGGATCGCAAAACCACTCTGAATGATTTGTTCATATTGATTTAGTTCTTGATTTCAACTTATTCATGATCATAAGTTACAGTTTGCTGGAGAATGAGATTATAAGTGAAAATGGAAAGCTATTGCATAACTTTTGGAAAGTCATCACAATTAAAAGAACCAAAGACTTAAACTACTTCAGTCTGTGTGCATTGAATTTATTTAATACACGAGTTTCACAATTTGAGTTGAATTACTGAAATAAATGAACTTTTCCATGACATTCTAATGTACTGAGATGTACCTGTATAATGAAAAAGAGTCATATCTACCACTTTTATGATGCTTTTGTTGTGCTTTGCATTTTTTATTTTATTTTATTTTTTTAAGTTTGAAAGCTACAGTCTCCATTGAAATTTTGTGGAAAAGAGTGATCGGGACATTCGTCAAACTGTCTTCTTTTGTGTTCCACAGACACAAAAAAAGATTTAAGTTACGGCGAGTTTATTAGGGTGAGTATATGTCTAATATTAATTTTGACAAAAAAAAAACATCTTTCAAATGAACAATTTGATGTTTTGCATTGAGAAACACATTTCAAGACTTTATTGTGGCTCAGTAAATGAATTCACTTACTTTGCAGTACAGTTCTGTGCCCAGTTAAGCAGAGTCTTTATGGCTGTACCGCGGTATTTGAGATTTCGAGATGACCTTTTGCCTTTTGAGGGTAGAGTGCCAAAACTGTCATCCCCAGGTGATGCTGGAGAACTACGGCCTGAAGAATCACTGCCACAAGGTAATGACAGCAGACTGAAGGTGGATGGAAACTTCTCCAGGCTTCCTGTGACCTGTTTAATCTTAGAATGGGAAAATGATTTAGAATCACAATAACTCACATGATCAAACACCCACTCAAGAACAGTGGATCCCTTTCATCGCCATTACACAATGATAGTGTGCTTTACCTGATAGTACACAATGATGTTCCAGATTAGCCTGAGAACAACTGAAGGATTGCCATCGGCAATATCATTAGCGTCAATGTTTATAAGGCTAACCTGTGTAAAAATAATATAAATGATTACATTTATATTTATATCACACAAAGATATGGAGCCCTCCACATGACATCAGTAAACATAGATGTTGACCATGTTTTACTAATTAAATCCCTTATTTTAGTTAAATCATTGTTAAGTTGTATTGATTTGTTTCCTGGTTTGAATTCAATTTACCTAAAATGAGGAAGATAATTCATATCGTGGGGTGGGAATTTTTTTTATTTATTTATCATTAATTAACGTATGGACAATAAATGAATAAATAAATAAATCGCACATAAAAATTAAAAATGCAAAAAAACATCAGGACTTACATTTCTGTCCTCAAGGAAATCCAAGACCTTGGAAATATTGTTTAGTCTGAAGATGCGATGTGGAAATGGCCTGAATTTATCAAGCTGAAGAACATGAAAAACACTTCTAGAAAAGCTGCATCTATGAATGATAGATTTATAGTGATCAAACTTTATCTTTTTCAGTATTATATGTGATGACAAACCATATTAGAGCCTGACAGTTCCTCTAGAAGAGCCATGAGAATCTTTCCATCCTGAATATCAGTGAATAAGTTATGAACCTGTAAAGGTGGGTCACACTGCAACACCGAGAGAAAAAAACAACAACATGGTACTTTTTTTCAATACTTTTGTTGTAGTAATATGGTAAAATGTCATGCAAAAAGAAGACAATTCTCACTCTCTTCAAATGCATGTTTATCCACTTGGTAAAAGTTCTCTCTTGGACTGCTTGCTTCTCATCTGTAGATAAATAAATGAGGGACCATGGACACATGGAGTTAAAGTTTAAAGTGCTGTCAGTGACATGCTGTCATTTCAGAAGATTTTAACAGGTTTAGCACAGGTGGGAACAGGTATAAGCAGGTTCACTTTCATTTTAAGACACATGCACCGAGAAAAATAAATGAGGAAGTTTGTCTTTAAAAAAAAAAGTTTACCTTGCAAATCATGTTTTCTTTACAATTACACTTTACATTTCCATTGCAATTTGTTTCAAATATAATGTATACAATAATGATGAAAGATATATAATAGTATAGCTGTGCCAGAACTGCAAACAATACATTTTACGATATAATTTAGCAAACTTGGAGATTAAAACGTGCTGAATATTGTTTATCCTCAAAGAAAATATCCACCCAAAATCGTCAGTGTATAAAAAATACATTATAGGAACTGTACATGTAAATTATGCATATACATGGATTCTCCTACCTTGGGTTTTTTGTGCGCACTTCTTGTCTTTCCCAACATGTTCATCTCTCACACTCAGTGTTGAGGACATCCTGAACAGGACCAAGGCAATTTCTAAAAGTCACTAATACACTCCATGCATAGCTAAAGAGGAAGATTTGAGGAAGTCATGGGTTTGAGAAGTGTTTTTGAGCGTCAGCTCCTGCCAGCACACGCCCGCCTCCTCCTTACACCTGCATTAACCTGAGACAGCTCCTCCAAACCCTTCACTGCCTTAAGCTAATATTTTGTATTCATGCGTAAGACATAGTTTAGCTTTTATGTGTTGACATTTTATCCATTCACTTTTAACAAATAAAACAAGTGGATACTTGAATGATGGTTTGTTCATAGCATAACTACGACTGTTCAAGTTTCTTTTTTGCAAAAGCAAATCTTAATCCTCATCATCAAAGGATATTTTTAACTCCGTAATGGTGTACTGCTGAAAGTCTGTGACTCTGTGGTTTTTGTTGCATTATATAGTGAGCCAATGTATTAATACATTTAAACATGTCAGGTTTTACAGTATAAGGGTTTATGAAGGTAAATTAAATACTTTTTAAAAGACCAAGTGAAGAAAAATTAACAAGTTAAATGCACTCAGAATTGTTGCATTAAACACTTAAATCTCCATTTCTTTTACTATATTTTCTAAAAAAAAAAAAAAAAAACAACACTACAATATGGAAACTTTTACATAGGCTACCTTATGATCACAAAACATAAAAAGTGATGTTCTTACTCAGCGTTTTAGATTGTTTTAAAGTACAAATGTCTAAAAATTCTTAAATCAAGATATGTTGATTTTAAGTGTCGATATTTACTTTGGAAAGCAAAACAATAACACTCAGGAAGATTATTGTTTACAGTGCACGCCATACTTAAAGCCCTGGTTTTATGAATTTAAAACTTTCTGCTCCAATTTAAGAACTATTTTGTGGCCATAATTTGTGAAACGGCAAATTAAGACTTTTTAAGACGCACAGAAACCCTAATAAACACTAGAACTAGTTTAAATATGAAGAGTTCAGATGCAAAAGCCTCTAAGTACATCTGACGGTTTTCTTTAAAATTACCATTTCTTTCTGACTACTATGTATAGGTTTCTATGCAAGTACTGGTACTTCTGAATGGGTTGAGGCTGGGATTTAGTGCATTTGAAGTGAAAGTACTTGATGAACATATACTATGTGTGGAGAGCATTCACTCAGTATTGTTATCAAATTTTTGACCAAAATGGCTTTTAGAGGCTTTTGCATTGGAACTATTCATATTACGCTTAGACATGACACTTTCTGAATGCCAAATGTTAGTTAAGGCAGTGTTTCCCAACCCTGGTCCTGGAGGCACCCCAACACTAAACATTTGGCATGTCTCCTTTCTCTGACACGCCAGTTTCAGGTCTTGGGAGTCTCTACTAATGAGCTGATGACCTGAATCAGGTGTGTTTGATTAAGGAGACATGCAAAACGTGCAGTGTTGGGGTGCCTCCAGGACCAGGGTTGGGAAACACCGAGTTAATGTAGGCTAGTCAAAGTGATGAACAACACCTGTGTGAACTTGAGGAGAACTACATAAGCCACCCTCAAGCAGTTGGTTCACAAAACTATTTAGTTTGTTCTAAATCACTCCTATCTGGTTAAGCTTGTTATAGGCCCTGCAGCACAGGTTGTACAAAGTGGCTTATTTTGCTGAATGCAGCCTTCCTAATGAACCACAATGAAGACAATTATGGTTTTACTCAAGTAACAAACTATTTTGCTTGCAAATTAAATGTGCATTGGCTAAATTTAGATACCTCTGAATGATGCATTTACAATTGACACAAACATGACGCAAAACTACAAAAAGCCTTGCATAAATATTTTATTGGGGGGGGATGGGGTAAAGAAAAGGCAAATATATATGGGGTCTATTAAAAATAAACATTATTGAGCTGATGGTGATCAACGGAGGATTAAGACTTCAAATTTAATCCGGACAAACCTACAGATATAAAGGAGAGAAACAAAACACAAATGTTAGTCCGAATTGATCAATGCACAGTGTTGGGGGTAACGCGAGTTACGTAATCAGATTACTTTTTTTCAAGTAACTAGTAAATTACTTTTTAATTTACAAGAGAATATCGGAGTTACTTTTTCAAATAAGTAACGCAAGTTACTTTTTTTTCCAATTTATTGATTGAATCTCTCCTGTCCCCATGTTGAGAGAAATCAGATGTTACTGTAGTTCTAAAATAAATATGAATATGCATTAATTCATCTCACTCACAAAAAAAACAACAAGATTCAGTATTCCTCAATTAATTAAAAAAAATGCAACTCAGAATGACACAAACCTGCAATAATTAAATGCTATTTCCACAAAAAGTAACCGAGTAACGTAATTCGTTACTTTTTTATGGAGTAACGCAATATTGTAATGCATTACTTTTAAAAGTAACGTTCCCCAACACCGTCAATGCAGGATTTTGCCCCTGTCTTTTCTCAATGTACAACACAACGTTTAATTGTGGCAATTCAAAGTGTCTGAAAGGCGCGCTTCTCCTCACAGACAATATCTGAATGCCGCTACTTTACTCTGCCTGAATAGAGGATCTCATAATTATAGATTCTGATAATAATAGATGTCAAGTCATTATGAGAAACCATCTCATAATACTTAGAAACTGTCTAGAAACCTTATAATAATAACTTAATTTCTCATTAATATCTCGTAATAGTGACTTAACATTTCAATAATAATGAGAAACTTTCATTTAATAATGCCTTTTGTTTCTCATAAAAATTCTAAATAATAAGTTAGTTTCTTTTTACTTTGAGATGTCAAATCATTGTCTTGTAACAATAAACTCTCATAATAATTAAAGATGATAATAATAATAATTAATCTAATTAACATCTCGTAACAGTGACTCGTAACAATAGATTATCTCAAAATAATAGAGCATCTCATAATTATAGATTCTGATAATAATAGATGTCAAGTCATTATGAGAAACCGTCTCATAATACTTAGAAACTGTCTAGAAACCTTATAATAATAACTTAATTTCTCATTAATATCTCGTAATAGTGACTTAACATTTCAATAATAATGAGAAACTTTCATTTAATAATGCCTTTTGTTTCTCATAAAAATTCTAAATAATAAGTTAGTTTCTTTTTACTTTGAGATGTCAAATCATTGTCTTGTAACAATGAGAAACTGTCTTATAATAATTAATCGAACATCTCGTAACAGTGACCCGTAACAATAGATTATCTCAAAACAATAGAGGATCTCATAATTATAGATTCTGATAATAATAGATGTCAAGTCATTATGAGAAACCATCTCATAATACTTAGAAACTGTCTAGAAACCTTATAATAATAACTTAATTTCTCATTAATATCTCGTAATAGTGACTTAACATTTCAATAATAATGAGAAACTTTCATTTAATAATGCCTTTTGTTTCTCATAAAAATTCTAAATAATAAGTTAGTTTCTTTTTACTTTGAGATGTCAAATCATTGTCTTGTAACAATAAACTCTCATAATAATTAAAGATGATAATAATAATAATTCATCTAATTAACATCTCGTAACAGTGACTCGTAACAATAGATTATCTCAAAATAATAGAGGATCTCATAATTATAGATTCTGATAATAATAGATGTCAAGTCATTATGAGAAACCGTCTCATAATACTTAGAAACTGTCTAGAAACCTTATAATAATAACTTAATTTCTCATTAATATCTCGTAATAGTGACTAAACATTTCAATAATGAGAAACGTCCATAAAACAATGCATTGGCTTCTCATAAAAATAAACTTCCTCGTTAGAATGCCTTCTAATAATATTGAGAATTTTTTTCCTTATTACTAAAAATGTTCTCAATTATTATGAGATGTTGAATCATTATTTTTTTTTAGAACGTTTCACTTTAGTTTCTGATATTTTAAGTTTCTGATTTACAGAATTTGTACTCAACTGTGACTAAAAGTGGGCTAGGGTTAGGGTTAGGGTAAGGGTTGAAACTTGTTAGTGTGGTCAGTACAGCACAAGTAGGTTAACGGCACCAGCAGTCCTGTCGGCTCTGATTGCCTTTATCAGCCCTGTGCAGCAGGAAGGAAGGGGTGTTAACTAGAGCTGTGTATCACCAGCAAAGTCACGGTACGATACATATCACGATACATAGGCCACAATATGATACATATCACGATACGGAACTGCACTAAATTTCACCTCAGCAGAATTTAGAAAAACAGTTGTTTATCATACACTGCATACTATAGGGCCATTTCTAACTATTGGCAGAGCAGGCAGTTGACCGCTGCATTATAAAGGGCCTCCATAACTGTACCACAGTACAATATAGGTTATGGCATACGTTTCATGTTTACATTGTGCACTCCCCACCAGGTACAATATTCTGGTTGTTTGCATCTTGTTTTTAAGCCCATAAATAATAATGTAGTCATTCTAATAAATGTATATTGTAATGTACTCATTCTAATATATTAAAAAAATCATATTTACATTGCTGGTAGGTTATCATTGCACAAATTAACACAATCTCTACGTTTAAAAAAATACAAATAAAAATTAGATGAGTTCTAAACTAATGCGCTGTCTTCTGTATCTAACGCGCACACACACGCTCAGTCACTCACACAGATCATGCTGCGCGTGCACAGACATTCAGGAACAAACTTTTTAGCACTACCCCGCAATTTTATCAATAAAATAGCTTAATCGCTCTAGTGCTACATTATCTTTCTCAACAAGGAGCTGGTAACATCATTGTTTCTAAAGCAATTAAAGCCACAGCTTCACTGTTAATAGAGAAACGCGGCAAAACGGTGGTAATTCATACATACACCGCCTCTCTCTCTCTCTCTCATAAATGAACACTTGATAAATTACACTTTTCTGAGAATAGAATATTGAAGTGGAGATCGCTAAACTGCAAGCTTACCGGTGTTTTCAGAAATCAAGCGCGTTTATCCACAGTGGAGAGCGCGAGAGCGTGCACATGGTTGCCAGGTTGACAAAGATAAGTAGCACACTTGGCAGATATTTCCGTATTGCGCAAGTGAGAAGCTCTGTTTCGGGGATTACGTCTCTTTATATCAGGCAACCCCATTGTGTTCCTCTGTGGCCAAATTAAACCTTTAGAAACCTCGCACTTTTCTACTCTATTTTAA